TATTTCCTTATCACCTAGAAATATCTAATTTCCTGGCATTTCCCCTGGCATGTGCAATTATGTTACTCATTTTATCTTTTAATGAGATATTAATAATTGCCTTTCAGTAGATTGATCATGCACACCAGGCTCATCCTGCCTACTATTTACACAAAGAGCTGTTTCTGAAGCTGACTTTGTCTAACCACCGGGAAGGAAGAGTGATCCTCCCTAAATCTTACAGATGGAAAAAACAATCAAATCATATGACTATAATCTACATTTCTTTAGACATCCTGGAACACATATATGATAAAAATTGTTGGTAATATATAAACTATAATTCTAGAAAAGCATATCCTAAATTGTGAACCGCCTGTGGAAACAAACAGTGAATATGGTAGTACAAAAAACTTATTTGTGGAACACAGGAATGAGAAAAATGAGAATAAAATAAAATTTCCAGGATGGTAACTTCACTTTTGAAGAAAGGGAATAAAGTTCTATGCAGGAATATATGTTCTGAAAAACAAAATATTAGGGTTCTGTGCAAATCTGGTTTTAAAACAACTTTCTACGTGTCCCTCTACTCTGATTTAAGGTCTTCCTAAAAGACCTAAGCATCTCTTCAGCAATAACTGATACCTGGGACTACTCAATTGCAATACATTTTACCCTTAGTATATTATAGCTAGTAGCTATTGGGAATAGTCACAAAGGTAGTAAGTGTTGTAGTGTGAATTATGAAAAAGGCATTCCTCTAAATATCATGAAAAAAAATCTTATTAAATAAGCAACATTTAAATGTAGAACAATTTCTGGAATGAAATGCTTCCTCATGCTCCCTGGACACTGGATCGTTGCTGGACTTATCTTCATCATCACATAAACAACACAATGAACAAGAAACTAGACTACTAGGTATGAACAAAATCTAATTAACAAAGGTGCAGTTGATCAGATTTCAGCAATCTTAAGCCAAACCAGCTATCGAGTCCTTTTCTTGTTTTGTTTTAAATCTGAGTTTCCTGAGGACACACAACTTCCGTAATCATTTTAATTCAAAAGCGTCCCGTAACTTTTAACCCCCGTCCAATTTCACACAAATCTAACAGAAGGGCAGAGGCCTCCCAGATGTTATGATTCTACAAGCTGCTTAACAATTACTGGTTGAATAGAAGAGAAAGACTTGCTAAAAGAAAATCAGAGAAAATTCCGCTTTACTCATCTCATTTGGCAGGAGCCAAGTGGTCAACCAGCAGGCAGATAGCTCTGGACTAGCCGCCACAGGAGGACGGGACAGTCTACAGTGCATGGCAGTGGGGAGTGAGATGATGCTGATGGTTATGTATGGGCATCATAGGAACTGGATGTACTGTGTGGAACTGGGGATACGGAAAGGACCATACTGGAGTATAAATTCCAAAAGAAAATCAACAGCAGATACCTTTGCACTTAATTAGCTAAGAGTTATATTAACAAGGCTGAACACCTTACTAGCACAGAACAGAGTTAATGTCTACTTCTGGGATGTGAGCTTACTTTTTCAGAACTAACTGGAGTATCTTCATACAACATTCCCACTTAAATATGGCTGTGTACTTTTCATACAATGACATTGTAAAAAGTGAAGCCAAACTAATTATGCATATATGTAATTTCACATTATATCTATATACTGCCATGAAACAACCAAGACTCAACAATCAAGCGTTATAAAAAATGTTTTAAGCCACGACTCGTATTTGAATTCTGCTTTATCCTGAAGAACTGAGCTAGATGTATCGAACGACAAAATCTACAAATGGGGTATCAGGGAAGTAATTTCCTTGTAAAATTAGACTCTACACACAATAACTACAGATCTCCTACACACCGTCCAGAGTTTAATCGTTAGCACTTGATGTACAAAACATGTCAGTGGAAGCATCTGCCTAGTGTGATGATCTTGATTCAATCAGAATCTATTCATCCTAAACAAAGCAAAACATGCAGAATCTATTCATCCTAAACAAGACCAGAGAGAATTAATGAAAGAAAACTATACAGAAAATTCTGATGTAACTCAAGGCTGATAACAGTGTCAACAGTAGACAGAACATTTTCTATCAGATTACTGAAATAAATTTATGACTATGAAATTAGGGCCCTCAGCCATCAACCAAGTGGATCCATCAGTGGTAAAACTAACAAGAACTGAGAGATGCTCATTATTGAAAAGCAAAAACCTTCCCATGCAGAGCATTGTCTGTCAGCTTACATTAAATAGATAGTTCATTTATAACTGGACTCTCAAAAGAAATGAAATTTGTGGTGATGAAGAAAAAGGCATCAGTGTTGTACAAGATGCACTGAAGTAACTGGTAAGCAAAATATTGAACTGGTATCAGGTTGTTCTCCCACTGAGTTCACAACCCCTTGCCTACTTCTGAGACATACTACTGTGTTTTGCAGGCAGAATTCTTCAGCTATGTTTCCTATTCCAGAGATTATTATTACCATGAATTTCAGAACTGCAACCATCAGACTGATAAAATTATGCAGTAATGCTTCCCATTCTTCCTCCTAGACTCTTTGGTATTTTGGAAAACTGTAGCTTTTCTGTTAGTAATTTCTTTGAAAGAAAGTCAGCTATATTTACAGAGAGTACAGAAAAAACCACAGTAAATTCATTTAAGCAGATATATTTACAACCTCTATTTCTAAGTTTTAAATAGATTTTTAAAGTGTTTCAAGGGGGACAAATCCCGCATAACTTACTCCATATGCATCTCTACTGAACACTGATCTACCAAAGCCAGAAAGGTACGATCTTTTAAATATATACAATAAAGCATATTTCTAAGTAAAACAAATAATAAAAGCATTGATCAGATGTGTTACCCAGCATGTTCTCAAGTAAAGTACTCATACAGTTAGAGTCAGATTCAAAACTCACAAGTATGGTAACGGAGAAAAGGAAACTAACCAAAAGAAAGTCTGCGGTTTAGCTGAGGCTCAGCCTGTCCCAATGGTTATACACTCGATATATGCAGTTTTGGTTAGCACTTCCCTTGAATTCAACTCTGAATGTGACAAGCCTCAGTAAGTCTCATTTAGCATTCCGTCTAATAAGGAAATTGAAGAGAAATTTAACTGAAAATCATGGCATTCAAAGAAAAGAAAAATAAACAGTGAAGCTTATTTCTGTTAGTGCAATACTCATGTATTATTTTAATAGTTCATGATGTTAATATGGCCTGATTTTAGATGGTCTATACTTTCGTTCTGTATTACTTACATATAGCTACCACTCTTTTGCAAAGTGTTTAAATTATACTTGTTGAAAAGGAGTAAAAAAGCAATGTTAGAGTCATAACTGTGGTATAGGAATCCTGTGTAAGGAAAGATAAAGCAACTGTTTGTACTCTACAAAACCTGTTCTAGGATTAGTATTTTCTGTTTAAAATGATAATGTTAAAATACATTTTTAATTTTGCTTTGTTAAATAATGAGTTTTCATTAAATGCGAAATGATGTTTTGTCGTTTTCAGTGTTATTTTTTGCAATTATTAGAATCCCTGAGAATGTATAGAATAGAACCTGAACATTTTATATTTCTTCCATTTCTGAAAAAATATTAATACAGATAAAGAAATGTATGTGACAACATACAGTTCTGCCTGCTAGCCAGTTTACTATCCAAAACCTTCCATTCAAAATAAAAGAGGCCAATTCTTGAAACCTGATATGTAGGGATCCATTTGTCTCATGAGTTTGCAGGAAACCTGGGACATTTTTTCTACTTTAACTATTTTAGATGTTATATTTGTTCAAAGATATGCCTTACCTTTTGCCTTTCCAATAGTTAGGAAGTATTAAATAGAGTGATGGATGCAATGACAATTCTGTGGAACATAAAACCAAATATACTTTATTTAAGGCTGTGTTTCAAAGGCTTTATGTTTTTATGTGTTTGCGAGGCACAGAAAAAATATTCATTTCTACAACAATTTAATGAGCCAGAAATACTGCTTGACCAGATTTTACGTAACGTGTATCGCCAGGGAGCTTTGTTTTTCCCCGGAGCTTTGTGATCTCTATTATTGTTTATAAATCTTCTCATTCAAACAGCTTAATGTGTTTCCTGGTGGAGGTACCTATAGCTAACAGTCCATTATGTTCTACAAGGGCTCACGCAATGTCTTGAGTCCACATTACAATATTCTTACTGGCCTTGAGCCAATCTGCAAAGGAAAGCGGGTTTATCTATGCAATTGCATTCCAGAAGACTTTTAAATAAATTGTTGACTGAATTCAGAATTCCTACAAGGCTCCAGCTGCTGTGTCAGATCAATGTGCACCCAATGAGTTGCATAATAATGAACTTCCTATTAGTGGTCATATTAAGATATTCTAAGAGTATTCTAGCATATACTTTTCATATATGCATGTGAGAACATTCAGTTTGACATCAGCATCAACAATTCATTTAACTAGGATAAAGGCAGATTCCACCGTAGCTCGGCAACAGTGAGAAACAGCTTGGATTTTGACCATCTGTAATGTAAAAAGTGATCTTAAAAGTTTGCATGGGTATAGAGAAAAAAAATAGATGTGTATGGAAGCAGGCAAAGGCATGCTGGATTAAATCTTTTAATGTGTTACCTTTTGTTGTGGTCTGGTCTACCATGGGAACAATGTAATTCACTTGTGGATCAAAATCACACAGTTATTGAAATATACATTCAAAAAGGACGGGAGAATGGCCCACATATGACAAGACTATTGGTTTGTCACCCATCTCACTCTTACTCAGTGTTTAATTGAAAGAAATCTTCACTTTCAATATTCTAGCATATGCCATCTCTGTGCTTCATCTGAAATCACTGGAGAACTGAAAAATATTGGTGAATCCAAACACTTCTCAAGCTGCCTTCTCCCCACGAATTTGAATACTAACTGGATTTTACTAATAGCTTCTTACTTCACTGAAAATCAACACGATTTTCAAATCAGTTATATGCTGAAATTGTACATACTCTGAGGAAACCTGGGTGGATTGTCGTTGACATCAGTGAGTGTGATATTTACAGTTGTTGACCCTGACAGCCCTCCGACCTGCCCAGCCATATCTTTGGCTTGAATGACAACGGAATAATGCTCTCTGGCTTCCCTGTCCATGTTGTGCAAGGCAGTCCTGATGACTCCTGTGATGGAAAGAAAACAGACAAACAAAAGAAAGATCAAGATTAGCTTGTTTGAGCAAGAAGAAAGGCTGGGTATAACCTTTCTTTTCAGGAAAGGTGGAGAATGGCAGATTTTCTGGAAATGCAAAGCTGTTCTACAATCAAAATAAGCTGGCTTCAGTTGTTCGTGTCTTAATATATATGTATAAATATAAATATATATATAAAAAACAATGCCAGATGCTGCTAGACAATCAACTTGCTTGAGGATGTGAAGAAATTAAAATCATATATCAGAACAATTATTATATTAATAAATAATTAATCCAACTTATATAACATATAACTGTTTAAATAGCTATTTAATAGAAATATTAATGAATGAAAACTCTTACCCCACTGAAGAAGACAGAAATTCCTTTTTAAGAAAAGTTAATTTCTGAATTAAAATGTGACATACCTCTTAAAACTACCCAAAAGCTAAAATTTCTTATTTGACAGATCTCAAGCAACTACACTTTCGTATTTGATACATGTCAATCACATACATTTATGTTCATAAGTGTCTTACCTAACACCTAACCATAAAGTGAAAGATAAGCTATTATTGGTTTTACTACAGTAGAGAGAGAAAACCTAAAATTCTATTTATTTCTATCCATCACCGTCAGAAATTTTTTTAACATGTAGCCAATTACACATGCAGAAGCAAAGATTACAACAAAGGAGGAACAGTCAATTCCATGGGCTCAGTTTCAGTTATGGGACATTTTTCACTTACGATGGTGCCTGTGAATTAGGCCCTGCTAATTTCTTTGATCACAGGCTGACAGAAACCTCATGGAGTTCAATAAAGGGAAATGTCAAGTCCTGTGCCAGGGAACCAGTACATGCTGTGGACAGACTAGCTGGGAAGCAGCTTTTCAGAAAAGGATCCAGGGGTTCCTCAAGCCGGACAGGAGCCACCAATGTGCCCTTGCAGCAAACAAGGCCAACAGCATCCCAGGCTGCATTATGAAAAGTGTTGCCAGCAGGTCAAGGGAGGGGATCCTTCTCCTCTGCTCACCACTGGTGAGGCCACATCTGGAGCGCTGGGTCCAGTTCTGGGCTCACGAGTACATGTAAGACACTGATAGACTGGAGTGAGTTACGCAGAGATAAAGAAATATGTGAAATGCTAAATTTATTAACATTAAATTTTCAAAAAAACTGCATTTGTAGCATAACTTGGTTTTGGACTCTTAAACTGAGTGGCTATTATACCTAGTAAGAAAATATACCATAGCATGATCAGATGTTGCTTCTGGGTAAATTTTGAATATATAATAGCCATTAACACAAAGCAACTTCAGAAGAAGAGCCTTGCTCTTCTACACAACCTGCTCTACAGCATGATTCTCAAGATTTTTGATTCCCACAGTCTCAGATGATGCAAAAAGTGACTTCCAGAACACTATTTTTCTTGTACTTTAAGATTACTTTCTTTTGATGTCTTTAGTAAAACCATTTAGCCATTATTACATACAAACCAGAAATTTTCATGTAGCTTATACCATTGTTTCCATACTATTCTGAAAACAAATCACACATAAATAAGTAGAACTATCCACAAAGAATAACATTTTAAAGTATCCATGAAGATTCAGAATTATTTTAACACAGTTTTGCACTGTAAGTTCTGTTTCATCAGAAGCATAGATTCTGGACAAGCTGGCTAAAAATAGTATACCAGTCTGGTTTAGGTCATCAGTGTTTTTTTCCTTTAAATGACACAGTTACAAACACACCTTTTTCCACAGATTTCACCACATTATACTGAAATGAACCACAATTTATACATACTGTAACAGAAAGGCATTGAGACATTTGGATAAAAGGCACTGATATAACTTAAATATGCAGTTTCATCAAAATCAATATCGTTCACAAAATCTGGTAATACTGTTCTGAAAATTCATTTTACTGAAAAACAGGAAGATAGAAAAGTATTAAAATTAAAAATGCTCTGCATTTTTCAAATAAATTGCTTCACTTTTTCACATTGAAATGAAATTTATTGGAATATTTAATGTTTATGTATATGCATGGAAGGAATATCGGATTTTTTTTTAAAAACTTCAATTTCAATTTGAAACAGACCAAATTTTACACAATGGAACATCTGTCTTCTGTACAATCCTCATAAATGCACTAGTCACTTACATTTTTAAACTGATCTAAACAAACAGAAATTCCTCTGAATTACAATTACTTTCCTCTTCCTTTTTGCTTCAAGGGGTATGGTACTGAATCAATGCTTGTAGGCAGTTAATAAGGATTTGTGGATGACTAATCATTTCATATCTCCCACTTGCATCAGATTTCTCTTTTCTGAAAAATGAGTAAATGAAAATGGGCAAGTTTTTAACTCCAAAAACTTGTATCCAAAGTTTAGAATAAGAAAACTGGTTTTAAGCTTAGGATATGCTGAAGGACAGGAGATAACGGAGGATTTAGTTCTCTCTCTTTTCTCGGTTGCATATACATATATACATCCTAAAATTATATCATTGGTATGAGGTATGTAACTACTGTGAGGACCCTGATGCTCTGTCCTCGTCACTAGCAGCTCTACCAACTGTTCTGGCAGTACAGCACTAAAATCATATTCAAATTTCTTTAATGAGCCCAAAAGGTGTAAGGAGAACTTTCTTGGTCGCCTTTTCCAATAAGGTAATATGAAATGCTCCAGCAATTCCTTTTCAAGCAGGAGTTGCCCTGAGTATCTTCAGTAGACTTGGCAGGGGCTCCTATATATCCCACAGGAAGACAGGAAGTTCACATTAAGGAAGACATCTCCCTGTCTAAAACGGTGCAGAAAGAAACTGAAAAAGAAAACTGTCACAGGCTTTTTAAATTTAAACACAGCCTTAATTTTGCCTCATATTTGTTAGGCAGCACTGCGACCCTGTTAACTGAGTACTTTTCAGCTATGTTTCCAATATTTATTCATCTTTACTAAGAAAGGAAAGGAAAGCAATAAAAAAAAGCAAGATGTAGACATCATTACGGGGACACCCCACCCTGTTTCTGGTTTTAAGTGAAGAATTTTTACCAAAGTTTGACTGCTATGTCAAAAATTGCGTACAACATATGGAGGTTTATATCTATTGGAATGGAGTTCAGAAGGACACATAGCTCTGGACCTCTGGCCTGCTGAATTTAGTCATACCTATTTCCATCGTAAAATTATGAGAGATGCGTTTTCCCACATGGAAGGCTCTCCCTTTTTTAGAAGAAAAAGAACACACTTTTTCTTCTAACTTCTTGTCTACATTTATTCACCTCTAAATCATACCAGGTTTTGTTTGTTTGTTCTTTTCTCTGACAATTTCTACAGTCTTGGAAAGCCCGTTTTCCAATTTGAATTTATCTTCCTTGACTGTGGATGACCAGAAATCTACCTACATTCCAGATGAGATTTTATCACTGCCTATTCTAATTACAACTTTTTTTTTTTTTTCCAGAATACATCACACTCGTGATTCATCTATGATTGACTAATATACCCAGGACATTCTCCTCCAATGACACTTACAAATTAACGAGACCAGAGTTACTGCAGACTCATAGAATATCTTGAGTTGGAAGGGACCCATAAGAGCCAACAGGTCCAACGCCCTGTTCCTCAAAAGACTAACTAAAACTAAATTATATGACTAAGAGCATCACCCAGATAGTCTTGTAATTAGTTCTGCAACATGGCCTTTACTATATAATACTATTTAATTTTATTATGTTCTTCTTGCTCTTGCCTTTGAAGACATAAGCTTCTTCCTCTGTACTGACAATTCCTTACAACTTTTTGCAATCAGGAAATTTCTTCATGACTGTCCTGCATTTATCCTCAAAACTTCAGACAAAACTGACTGAGAAGAACATTGAGATGAACGATTGATATGTCTACTACTGTGGATAGCTCCTTTTCTTTCCTTTTACCCAATGCCTCTGGATTTGAGAAAGCCCTGAAAATAAGTTTATTTTTGGCAAGTTTTACTTCCTTCTCCACTCAGGCTCTCTGAACTCATTCCTGATACTGAACTGCAGTCAATTCCTTTTTTATTTTTTTTTCCAAGTTTTCTTTAAGATACTTCTATGCTCTGTAGCATCTGACAACGTGTTATGTTGTCTTTTTTAGCATTCTGTGAAGAACCATTTTACTTGCACGCTTGCATGTAAGAAGAGCTACAACAGAAGGCTCAGCTGTAACTGAGACTGTAAAAATCAAGACTTTTTAATTCAAGTGCAGGCAATTATTAAGAAAATGTCTGCCACAGCCAAGTGCTTAACTATGCATTTACCAAAGTATTTAACTATGTACTTACCTGACAGTCTGGTACACTTGAAGTATTTTATCTTATTACTTATAAAAAACAAGAACTTATTTTAGATTCAGTAACCACTGCAGAATTTTAGCCAGCTTTATCTTACAGCCTACTCCTGCATGATGTGTGAATAGAACCTTCCCAGAATAAACCATGGTTCATTTTAACATTTTAAGCTCAAAGGTTTTCTATCTAGTGGGAAAAAAAAAAACAAAACCAAAACAACTCCACTTTAATGACAGACTAGTTTGTCATGGGCAAGTTAATTTTGTTTTAAAAATTTCCATTCTGTTATTGGATCATGAGCCTGGTCACTAGAGATTTCATGAAGGGCCAGTAGGTCATACTAGATCCCCCATATTCTATTTTCTAATATATCTGTCACGATCACAACCACTAAATGGTTCAAATGTAATTTTAAATATTTATTTAATAACTATTGAAATGTGTGATTTTACCAATTACTCAGGGAAGTGAACTGTTGCAGATGGTAATTTCATTAATATTATTTTTACTTTGTGAATAAAAGCTCTATTTTTATCACTGCTTTGCTTTAGGATATGTAGTTCGCTTATTTTATTGTAACTTAATATTCTGAATATATTGTATATATTAAAATACATCTCAAAATCTAATATTATTCTACCTTGAAAGAAT